CTTCCGAGTCGTAGGCGAACAGTCATCAGTCGCGCGCTGATGCCCGTTGGTTCACCCACCAGCTGGCCATGGAGGCGATCGGATATTGCAAATCCGACCCCATGATCACGTGGTGCTGAGGCGGCGTTGCCCACCCAGTAGAATGTGTAGCCAGCATCTGCTTCATGTAACTTACCTTGCTCAGCGAGCCGGGTTTCACTGAGCGCCGCAATATCGATGTTGTAGCGCGCCAGCTCCATCGCGACCAGTGCAGTGCGTCGCTCCGGGCGCTCGCTGGAGTTCCGGTCCAGTAGTGTGCGCACGTTCCAGCACCCGATGCTGAGTGCTTTGCGCGCAGGCATACGATTGCATTGGTGGGCAATCGCACGCGAGGTGGTCGTTGTGCTTCGGAGGTTTGCTTTAGGGACTCCACCCGGAGCCTTTGGCTCAATAGCCTGACCCACAAGGCAGTGGGTGGTTTGGAGGTTTGCTTGAGGGACTCCGCCCGGAGCCTTTGGCTCAATAGCCTGACCCACAAGGCAGTGGAGAGCAGATCCAGCTCGGGAATGTGATTGCAGAGACAGACTGGGATCTGCTTGACGGCCGTCACACGCAGCCTTTGAGGTACTGGAACGATTCATATATGTTTTGCGACCGTAGTAGGATACGCACCTGCGACCACGGCCAGACGCAGGTGGGTTTTGGCGGGTTTGCACTAATTTGACCAGGGGCTGCCTGGCTTGAGGCGGGCAGTAGCAAACCATTGAACACCCGGAGGTGCCCTCCCACTGTCAGAGACAATGCGTGGCGCTCGTGCTCTACGCCAATCGAGCTGTGAGCTTATAACCCGTAGACCTGTTGTCTCCCATGGCTAGGTTTTACGGGAAGAGCGCAATCGACCACTTCCTAACCTCCGAAGAGGATGGACTAGGATACTGGTAGGGCGCCCACACCTGACAGGAGAACGACTCGGGTCCTCAGCCAAAGCCTTCGATTAAATGAACACCCGAAAGGCAGCGGGTCTAGCACATGGTCAGTTCACTGACTCATGCGGATTGGTGTCCTGGATCTTAGCAGGGAGAAGGGCGAAACCAAACTCCCACCCAGCGGTCGTCACGAGGAGGCGCCCAGGACATGAGCCTATGGCACAACAGTAGCAGCAGTGGGTAGACCATCTGTCAGGATCTAGTCACTACCAGCCTCAGCGCACCATAGGCTCTCCCTCTCTCTCTCTCTCTCTCTCTCCATATATATATATATATATATATATATATATATATATATATATTCAACACTACCAGTTGCAATACAATTGGTTAAGTGTCACAACATAGAAGAGGAAAAAATAGATTGAAAGGGAAATCAACTGTTAGGGTAGAAGAGTCTCACAGCAGGTACACCATGGCGTACGGTCCTTAGCCATATCCTCCAGCGTTTGCAACCAGATGTGCTGGGGGCTCTTTGGTCCTTAACCCGGTAGTCGGGAACGTCCAACAATAGCCAGCTTCAACGTTTGCGCCTCAACGCATTGGACCCAAGTTTTACAGTGTTCAGCTTTTCGTCGATTCCAAGCCACGCCTATGCTCGCAAATAGGGTTAGTCGTGGTAGCCGCTGGGTAAGCATGCGGAGCATATGCCCAAGCCAGCGAAGCCACCGCAGTGAAATGATGCTGTCAATCGGACGGCGGAGTTCGTTAGGTCTGAAGACTCGCCGACGGACTTCGTCATTACTTGTGTGATGCTGTCATCGAATACCAGCAATGCTTCGCAGACAGCGGTAATTGAAAACAAATAGCCGCTGAACATCGTTTTTGCGAACGGCCGAAGTTTCAGTATCGCTCGTACCGTAGCATTATAGATTCGTTCCTTGAGAGCGAGGTTGAGGTCGCAACGAAGCCACAGGTGATGAAGGTTAGCGAAAGCGACTCTAGCCTTGGAGACACGCAAGGAGATCTCATCTGTCAAACCGCCAATACTAAGACAACTCCCAAGAAATGTGCACTCATGCAACAGCGTGATCATTTCCGTACATACTGATATGCTCCTATTTTACGACCTGGTACTCACCAATTGTATCGAAGTACCAGTTTTTTGAGAGAAGTAGGACCGATGCATATCGGCAGTCAGCGTTTGAGAACAGGTGTGAATGTTAACTATTGGAGCTGCTCAATTACTGAGTTTCGCGAGTCTCACAAGCTGATCATCTGGTAGTTAGCTTTACTGTACTGCTTCTCCCAAACTTAGCTGATTGCCAAGTGAAATTAGAGCCACGTGGACAACGGAATGCTCAAGACAACTCGATTTACAAATACTTCTTAGGTTATGAACACCCCAGAGATGTCTCAACCCGTGTGCATCCAGTGGTAGTTGCGTAACGGAAAAGCAATGTCACAAACTTCGCAACACAACCGCAACTGTAAACGTGTCGACGTGGAAAGAATGTGGTACTTTGACACAATTAAGCTGTGAAGCTCTGGATTAGTGACCAAGACGAAAGTCAACAACCACCGTGTTGGGTTCCTCTCTCAGCTCAAGCTATCCTTACGTGACGAGGACGGAACCGGCTGGCCTTGGAGTGCAAGTATGGAGAGAAAGTAGCTCCGAAACTCTCCACTTAGGCACTTCTTTGTAAGGCATAAAACAGAGGGTTCAAAAAGTCACTTGCTTCACTTATCGAGCGACTGCACTCATGAAATACCCAGGTCACTATTCACATAATACACAGCAGCAGACATTCAGTGGAAAGAGTTAGATTGCGCACCGCTACAGTTAACATACGCGGGGGTGTTCAAAAAGAAACCGAGCTTTTGCTATAACAACTCTATTACTCATCGCGCAACATTTTAAGCACTTTCGCCCTCAAAGTAGTCTCTAATACTTGCAACACATCGTTCCCAAAGGTGCTTCCATTTTTGGTTAGCCTCCGGGAACGCAGTTTCTGGGATGGCGCGCAGGGCTCCTGTCGCATTGTCCTGAGTCTCCTACATAGTTTGAAAACGACGTCCTTTCAATCTGGTTTTAGGTTCCTGAAACAGAAGAATATCTGCAAGTGCTAGATTCGGAGAATACAGTGGATGAGACACAACGGGAGTGCGATATTTTGCTAGATAGCTGCGGACAAGGAGCGGTGCGTGAGCCGGCGCATTGTCATGATGCGACATCTAAGTCCGGTTTTCCCACAGTTCAGACCACTTCCTGCGCACAGCATCCTTCAAACGCGTTAGAATTTGATGGCATGATCCTACGCTGATGCTCACTTCGTTAGTAAACTCTCGAACAGTTAAATTATGATTTCCACGGATCACAGTAAGAATTCTTTCGTCGTGTTCATCGTCTGTTGATGTGGAAGGTCGTCCACGCTTGGGTTCGTCACTGACCGACGTTCTGCCGAGTTAAATAAATAAAACACTTAAACCCCTTACAGCAATGCATGCGACTCATACAGTTCTTCCCGTATGCTTAGCTACGCAATTGAAATGTCTGCGTAAAAGTTTCGCCAAGTTTGTAGCAAAATTTCACACACACACGCGTTGTGCTTTAAGCTCGTTCGCTGTCTCTTCGGCACTAATCCGATGAACAGTCTGTACACGTGCTCACTTCAGCGGCTGTAGCTCCCAAACCAACAAGCAGAACGAAATGCGACAAATGACGGTTTGCTGTGTAGACAAACCTCCACATGCGTTCAGTAGCCACAGCGCGCTCCCTCTGCCGGTTGCCGCGCTAGTTCAAAAGTCCGATTTCTTTCTGAACACCCCTTGTACACATAGTCAATGGTAATTCGGCATGTATCGACGATACGATTTTCAGTTTCCACTGCCGACCATGTGGTTTGAAAACAATGCCATCTCCCTGCTTAGCAACAATAATTTGATTCACCCTAACGGAATTAACCACATCATTTTCGCCTATGACAAAGTAATCCTCCTATTTTATGTTACATTAATTCAGTTTGTGAGCAGAGGTTCCATTTTAATGGTGACCGTGTTACGCTGCTAATAGTGCATTCGTTGGCTGTTATTTTGCTTTGTACGTAGATTCCGAAAGCAACGAGTAAACCTGACGCCCTTTAGACACTCCTATTTCACACCACAAATACTGCAAAATGTACGCTGCCTTTGCATTGGGTTCATTTGACACACACACCTATTGTTCGGGAAGACGGTGATTGTCAGCGTTGACGTAGACATGGGTCGACCAAGTTTTCTAGTATTTTTAGCATCGTTAGTTCGAACACACACGTCGCATGTCGCGACTCGGTGGCCTAGTAGTGGTTTCAGCTGATATCCTAGAGGCCCCGGGTTCAATTGCTTGCAATCCCAAACAAGTTCGAAACGGGTCGAGGAGTAGTGTCGTTGGGTGGGCAATACACAATTTCCATCTACTTCATCAGTTAAGGCAATAGTGATCGAATTGACCAAGATTCACTTTAATGGGAAACGTAGTCCTCATTGAATTGCGTGACGCAATCCAGTTGCATAAACAAACGCTTTAAAATCGCCAAGCAGTCAGTCAATGATCATCGTGACAAGCGTCGCCCAGCGTGACTCGATGGCAAGATCAGATAAGTTCTAAACCGATGAAGTAGTGCAATGCTTTCTGGCAGGCAAGGCCCAACCAGCCAGTAACTAGTGCGAGAAAACGGAGAGGGAAAGATAGTGAGGTGCCGTTGGATGAGACCTGTACAAGGCGCCTGTACAGCGGTTAAATCAAGGTGCCCGTGATTTGCCAACTGTCACGTGAGATTGGACGTGCTTTCCACGTCGCAAAAAGACGGATTGTTTCTATGTTAACGTTATCATCGCAGCAGAACGGTTAGCAAGCAGACACGGAGAGAAACAGGAAACATGCAGGTGTGCTGCTGTTGTATTTACGGTGACATATTCCATAGCGTTGAGTAGGAGTCATTCAAAGCATACAGGCGTGTGAAAAGCGAAATAGTACACGTATACAAGCGGGGTGTGTGTATGGATACCAAAAAAATGGTGATGGAGAGATCATTGGGACATATGATTGATACTTACCAAGAGTAGGAGAAACCAGAAGAACCGATGTAGCAGACTGAACAGAGAGACACCACAACACATGATGATAATATCCTTGGCATGCCTGTACGAGAATTGGAGAATGACGGGAAGATACGGTTCAGTAACTCTATGAAGCGTTGGTAGCTTTATCAACGCAACGAGAACACCTTTTGTTTCGATAAGCTAAAATATTAATATAGAACTGTCTGCGTGGATTGAAAGAAGGAAACGCGAAAGGTGTAGAGCTATAAGGAGAACCACATCAAAGAGACGTGTTGTCTAATCGAATGGACGCCAATAATCACTGATAAGCAGTAATATAAAGGAGTAGGGGACTGGCATTTTTGGGCACCTAAATCTTCTGGGGCTATTTACTGAGGAGAAGGCTGACGAGATGTCCGCTCACCCAACAATGTGGTCTTACGAAAACAGTCACTGCATAGTAAAATACATCGTCTCATTGTACCCGACTCTTCTGCACATTGTGAGTTGATCTGAGCAAGATCCGAGCCAGAGATGCAGCGAGATGACGAGTTGATTGTAGCTCGAGTCCGGGGTGCCTTGATATACATGAGAAGCTGTTTCTGAGAAGTAGGCGAGATAGTATCAAAAAACCGCAACTGTTCAGCATATAATAATAATACTGATAATAATAACAATAAATGGCTATGCTCGATTCTGTACGAGATACAGCTGAGTGGGCGTGATCCGTGAAATGCATGTGGAAGGAATACTTCCAGCAAAATCTGACCGGTATCGGGTCAAAATGCAGAAGATGAGGCGCTCCACAACATATTGACGTATATTTGTGATGATATGTCGAGTTCCAGGTGCACTTCAATGAGTTTTGCGTCTGTAGGGATTCTAATAGACGCGAACGGGTGCATGGTTTATGTTTGTTAATTGCAGTTGTCCAGATCAAGTCTCACAGACCTCGAACCATCGTTGACGTGCTCCACGAGATGAATAGTCGACGTTGATTTGGGTGATGTCAAATTTCCCCGAGGTTGATTAGTCAAAATCTTTCATAAACCTTGAAAATGACTTTCTTAGTCGGAATGAGGTGGATTATTCTCGGACGGATCGACGGAAACATTGATAAATCTTTGAGAATTCATTTCAGCTATCTTCTATGTAATGGAAAATCAAAGTAAGATCCGCATCGTCGGGGCATGCTTGGAATCGTCAGATATTACAGTCGAATTAGGGGTACAGTGCATGAGTGGTCGACTGAAGAATTCGTGCTGCCGTAGATGGTAGAATTGTATGGAAAGGTTTGATACATTGGTTGTTGTGAGCGTATATTGGATGGATTGCTTCAATGAGCGTTAGTCAATGTTACGCAGCCATAGGCTGCTTCATGTAAGTTGTAGGCATCGGCTGTTGTTTGGTCGAAATCGTAACACTCTCAGGAAGTTTCTACTGTTCCAGTCCCAGCTGAACATGAATTTGTACATATTCAGGTCCAGCCATCAGCAGTGTTTGCGGGCGAGGATTGGTCAGAGTGCATGAGACCCGACTTGGACCACGGTATTTCAATATTTATCATTTTAATTGTGTTGGGACACACAACCCACGGGCCAAGTGGGCGTCGCAGGCAAGTCCTCCATAAGAAATGATGCCCCTTATGCACCGTTATAAAGAGGATGCGTCGTAACTAGCGCAAGGAGAATGAAAAGGATCGGACCGAACCCATGTCAACTTGTGAACCCAACGCGGCACAGACAGGTCGCTTACTATAGTAACGTGAGTCTACAAGGTACAGGTGATCCAACATATTACTGCTGTGTTCATTCGTACTACCCATTTATGTCTATCCGATCTGATGCACGTCTTCACCCACCGCGTAGCTGGGTGTGAACTCTGCGGATTGAGTTCGATTCCATCACGCATGTCCGCTCGCTCCAAACAACGCAGCAGTAGTGCATCATAGGTTGTAAATAGCAATTAAAACTGCTGGTTGACGCAAGATCCAAAGTGTATCGTCGAAGTTCCAATGGAAGGTCTATTATGCGAACATTCGTCGAGGGGATGTTAAGAATGCGAACAGCTTACCACAACACACATCAGCGAGGAAAGTGAGGAGCCGATTCCACTGGATATGCAAATGGTACAAGGCCGGGTGGTACTCGAGTTCCGTTGACCGGACTCCAGAGGTACTGCAGATGCTTCAGGTTACATGTACTGTCAATGTGCCAGGATTAGAGCAGGCCAGGGGAGGGGCTAAAAGGGATGGGGAGGGATAAAGAAACTCACAGCAGGAATGCCGCTAAGGTCAGTTCCTAGCCATATCAGCAAGTGTGTCCAATCAAACGTGTTCATTGTCTTTTGAACTACAACCAGGAAGCAGTAAAGCCTAAACCGAGGCCAGCTTCGAAGTGAGGGACTTCATTCCTCTCGACCAAGTCATCGCTTGGACACCCCTCCTCTTCTTCCATCCACAGTCCCGGCGCGCAAACAACGCACGTCGCGGAAGTCGGTGGGCTGGCATGCGTAACACGTGGCCGAGCCATCGGAGCCTGGTGCGTGAAATGACGGTGCTGTGCGGTCCAGTTCCTTTCCCTGTGTCATAAACAAGGCGTCG